CACACACACACACACACACACACACACACACACACACAGAGAGAGAGAGAGAGAGAGAGAGAGAGATCCAACCTCGGAGGGGCTCCCGCCCCTCTACCGCCATGGAGGCCATGGACTAGAGGGGAAACCCTCCTCCCATCTAGGGGTGAGGTCAAGGAAGAAGAAGGAGGAGGGGGCTCTCTCCCCCTCTCTCTTGATGGTGCCGGAACGCCACCGGGGCAATCATCATGTGACGGTGATCTACTCCAACAACTCTGTCATCTTCACCAACACCTCCATCACCTTCCCTCATCTATATTTAGTGGTCCACTCTCCCGCAACCCGTTGTATCCTCTACTTGAACATGGTGCTTTATGCTTCATATTATTATCCAACGATGTGTTGCCATCCTATGATGTGTGAGTAGATTTTTGTTGTCCTATAGGTAATTGGTGAATTGCTATGATTAGTTTAATTTGCTTGCGGTTATGTTGTTGTCCTTTGGTGCCCATCATATGAGCGCGCGTGTGGATCACACCATATGGTTAGTTGTATGTTGATAGGACTATGTATTGGAGGGCAAGGGTGATAGCAGCTTCAGCCTAGCATATAAATTGATGCATACGGGATTGAATGGAGACCAATATATCTTAATGTATGGTTGGGTTTTACATTAATGAATGTTAGTAGTTGCGGATGCTTGCTAATAGTTACAATCATAAGTTCATAGAATTCCAAGTAAGGGATGACATGCTAGCAGTGGCCTCTCTCACATAAAACTTGCTATCGGTCTAGTAACGTAGTCAATTGCTTAGAGGCAATTTCGCAACTCTTACCACCACTTTTCCATACTCGTTAAACTAAAGTAATTGTTTCTTTATCTAAACAGACCCTAGTTTTTATTTACGTGATCTTTATTATCTTGCAAACATATCTTACCACAACTACAAAGTATTTGTAGTTTCATACTTGTTCTAGGTAAAGCGAACGTTAAACGTGTGTAGAGTTGTATCGATGGTCAATAGAACTTGACGGAATATTTGTTCTACCTTTAGCTCCTCGTTGGATTTGACACTCTTACTTATCGTGAAAGGCTACGACTGATCCCCTATACTTGTGGGTTATCAGTAGTCTTGGCTGGATGGTAAGAAAGACACAAGGGACACCGGTGTTTACCAAGATTCAGGCCCTCTCGAAGAGGTAACACCCTACGTCCTACTTTGCTTGTATTGATTGTGGATGGGGTACAAAGTACATGTGATGTATTGTGAGAACGTATGAAAATGAATCTGATTGTTTATCATCTAGACCGGCCTCGGTTTATATAATACACCGAAAGCCTAGGATAGTGGGAGTCCCAATAGATCCACATGCTCTCACGAGCACACCGTACGTCCCAGCTGATCCGACCCAACGAGATTCACCTGGGAGACCCAGGTTCGATCCCGCTCACGCGCATTTAGATGTCCAAAATTCCCAAAATGACTTTTTTGTGAAAAAGTAGCAGAAATAAGATTGTAAGTTGTGCTCTTTCAATTTTCACCAAAAGTAGACCATATGGAATTTCAACTACCAAAATTTCAAGACTTTCAAAGTGTTTCTGCTATATTTCGTTGAGTTGATGAATTTCTAGAGATTTACATCAAGTAATTCAAATTTGAATTACAAGTGTGCTCTAGTTTGGTCATAAAAATTGGGGGAAATAATTTCAATCTTGCACATTAGGATTGTAGGTAGTGGCCACAAACAAAGGTGAAATTCCCAACCTCTTAGTATGAACGGTCATCCTTGCAAGTTTGACCACTATTTGGAAAAAAATAAAGAAAATGAAAAGAGAACCTCACAAATTGAAATCATTTTGCATGGAGCCCCTATATGCCCACTAGTCTGTTTTAGAGTGTTTTTCTGTATTTCATTGATTTAGTGAATTTCTACAGATTTACATCATGTAATTCAAATTTGAACTATAAGTGTGCTCTAGTTTGGTCATAAAAATTAGGAAAATTGTTTTCAAACTTGCACATTAGGATTGTAGGCAGTGGCCACAAACAAAGGTGAAATTCCCAACCTCCATATATGAATGGTCATCCTTGTAAGTTTGGCCACAATTAAGGAAAATGGAAAAAACTAAATAATTGAAATCCTTTTGCATGGAGCCCTTATATGTGCACTATTTTGTGGGAAAAATCATAAAATTGCGATATCACAAACTAAAAAGAACTTCACAAATTGACCTATCTCATATGAAGATCCATGGCTTTCAAGCAAAATGACCATTCCCATGGGCATTATCATCGCATAGTCCATGATAACATGACCATATTTGGCACAAATAAGGGTCTTAACATTCTAAACAGTAATTCCAAAGGAAGTTTCAAGTTTTGGCTATTTTTTCCATTTTCAAAGTGCGCAAAGTGATTTCTTTGTGAAAGAAGTAGCAAAAATAAGATTGTAAATTGTGCCCTTTCCATTTTCTCCCGAAGTAGATCACATGGGATTCCAACTACCAAAATTTCAAGACTTTTAGAGTGTTTTGCTATATTTCATTTATTTAATGAATTTCTAGAGATTTACATCAAGTAATTCAAATTTGAACTACAAGTGTGCTCTATTTTGGTCATAAAAATTGGGGAAACTAATTTCAAGCTTGCACATTAGGATTGTATGTAGTAGCCACAAACAAAGGTGAAATTACCAACCTCTTGGTATGAATGGTCATCCTTGCAAGTTTGACCATAATTTGGAAAATTAAAGAAAATAAAAAATACCTCAAAAATTGAAATCCTTTTGCATGGAGCCCTTATGTATGCACTAGTTTGTTGGAAAAAAATGTAAACTTGCAATATGACAAACTAAAAAAACTTCACCAAATGGCCTATCTCATATGAAGATCCATGACTTTCAAGCAAAATGTCTATGCCCATGGATCACAATTCGCATCTCCGAGATTACGGTTTATGGTAAAAAAAAATATGGTTTGTGGTCCACCCCCTATTCCTCTGTGCTTTTGTATGGTACCGCTCACAATTCGCATCTCTCGGCCTTCTTATACTGTCTTTCTAAAGAGTCCACCTCTTATATGATAAGATTCGTAGTCTTTTAAACCTTTTTTTGGATAGAGTCCACATCAAACTACCAACCCTGTTACAATTTGTCTGTTAACGGATTCTGTCTGCCGAGTCCCTAGAGCAGGCACTTGTGAGCAATATGCCAGAGTGCAAATTTCTCTAATTATGTAGATCAATATTAGGGATGTAGTCTAACTATATGATCTAGCTCCGTCTAATGTAATGTTTCCAATATACAGTACATAGTATATTGTATCCCACTGATAATGAACCAACTTCCTTAGGCACATTATACTTACGTTCCAACAAGCAGTGGCGAATCTTAAAGGGGGGGGGGGGTCCAGTCCAGTCACTTGCTAGCCAAGCCCAACACATGTTTGCATGATCCCAGGTAGCCCAACCCCCCTTCGATTTTTTGTAGATTCGCCACTGCCAGCAAGTACTAATTCCATGCTAAACATATAAAGTAATTCAATGTGCAAATACATATTTAATTCCATAATGAGGTACTCCAAATATTAATAATTCCAAGCGGTTTGAATTTGCAGGACATATAATTCCAACAAACTCGAGCCTAAATTTAATGGCTAGTGCTTGCGCTTGTGCTCATGAAGCATCAACGCACATATCAATTTTCAAGTTTCCACTCCCTATAAATGCGTAAGTTTCTCAAAACTGCGCCCATCGAACCCCACAAAAGATCATGATCAAACATTGCATCATACTCCTTCCGCTCACAAATATAAGATGTTTTAACTTTTCTTTTAATAGGATACATATAGAGAGATTTTAGTGTGTTTGTTCACTCACTTCTGTCCGTATGTAATTCATACTAAAAAATCCAAAACATGTTATACTTGTGAACGAAGGTTGTAACATTTCAAATTAACAATCATAAAATACGGTCCATTCCTAAACTCTAAAACCATACAAATTGCCAGGACCTCACAAGGGCGAAGACAACGTGGCTCGCCGCCGGAGGAAGAATCTTGACTGCTAGGAAGAATCTTGACTACTCCCTCCGATTGGGTTATTGGGTTTATAAGTCGGGCATGGGTTTTTATGTCTTCGATTTGATTAATGAAATATGTATAACATGCCACAAGACACTATGTGGTTAGAAACTACATTTGACAACGAATCTAAAGATACATTTTTATGAAATATAATACATGTTTCCCATTAAACCAAAGACCTGAAAAAACTGTGCCCGACTTATAAACCCACCGGAGGAAGTAGCTCAGGCACGGGGGCAGCATGAGGGGGACTAACAGTGCAGCATTGGGAGGATGAAGAAGAACAACAATCCAATGGTTGGAAGAGGGGGAGAGAGCAAAAGAGCAAACCGACAGAAACTGGAAATAATTTTCAGGCGCCTGACCTACAGGCTCAACAAATAATCATTAGTTACAACACATCTTTTTGGCAGGCACATTTATGGCGCTGCTATGCACTCGAAGGCGTGAACTGTCACATGACAAATTCTCTCTCCTAACTCGAATGAAAATAACACCAAAATGTTTGCAGTGGTCCTCTATTTATTGGCACCATATCTGTCTAGCTGATAGCAGCGTCCTTCTTGCCTCATCTGCATACAAGAAACGGTAATTAGTTTCGCTGCAATCGAAAATGGAGAGAAGATAAAACAGAGAGCATAAAACATCCTCCAAGAAGGCAATACACAGGACAGGTGTTGAATTTCAAGCTCTAAGTGGATGTTTACACTTTTGACATTACAGGGGGTTTGGACACAAGAAATATGCTAATCCCTCCGTTTCTAAATATAAGCCTTTTTAAAGATTTCAATACGGACTACATATGGATATATATAGACGTATTTTAAAGTGTAGATTCACTCGTTTTGCTCCGTATGTAGTCTGTATTGGAATCTCTAAAAAGGCTTATATTTAAGAACGGAGGGGGTAGTTACTTATGCAACAAAATATCAACAAATCAATAACAAATCCCACAAAACAGAGAAACTGATAAAGATTCATGTGAAGGACCTGCGATGCTTGCAGCAGAAAAATTGGCAGGTATGTTAGCTTCAGATTCAACGGACGCCTTTGCTACAGCAATCCCAACTGCAACACTTTGCATAATATCCAATCCCCCACATAGAGATGAAAGGAACCCACCAACCAAACAATCACCCGCGCCTGTGAGGCTGACCACTGAGGCAGATGTTGCAGGTAAATGGAAAACACAAGTTCTGGAAGAACCTTCTCTAGACAAATTAACAGGCATGCTGGATAGAGAACATCCCTCCAATTTTTCAAGTAGCTGAGTTGAGAAAGGTGTCACTTTACACCTTTTCGGATCCTTCATGAAGTTGACGTGCTCTCTGCAACATATGAAAACACCATTCGAGCCAAGTGTCACCAGGAGAAGCTTGATGCCCTTTTCGAGAAGAAAAAACATTGCTGGGCTGAGCATTTCAAACAAATAATCTACAGATTCTGCTTTGTTGCTGCACTGCTCAAGTTTGACGAAGTTGTATTTCCCTGGAGTAGACAGTGCGTTTGCCATGGCAATAAGCTCAATCTCATTCGGGGAAGTGCAAGTTATCTGAATCATCATAGAAAATCAATAAGTAAACTTCAAATATAATGGGAAGAGAAGTGCATTTACCGCGTAACTCTTGCCCGGACTGCCTAAAACTACTTCAACTACAAAACCATCCAACTACCAGAACTGGTGCAAAACCAAAACTTGGGTTGGTTGGTTGAAAATCAGCGACTGCCGCCGCGTTGGAAACAACATCACTGACTTTTTTTCTGAGTAGACAGCCACATCACTGTTTTTTTTTCTGAGTAGACAGCCACATTACCGAATTTTGCCATCTAGATATCAACACACCACGGTCCCAAATCACCTTCTCTCCACCTTTGTTCGCTTTCTACATGTGCCCCTACTAGTTCAAAACGATACTCTCTCTCCTCTCTAATGGTATTTGTGGTTTGCCTCTAAGACTCATCTATACACACATTTCTTACCCATGAAATTTGAACAGTCATGCCGATCTGCACTTGTTCTAATGGTTGGAGGGTGCAAAGTAAACAGTTTTGGAATCAAGGGGGCGCTTTCTCGAATCAGCCAAGGGGGTAATTCTTCCCATATACATACTAAAAAATGCTTACTCAATCATTTGCACTCACATGTTCCGCAATTGGTGCGATTCTTGAACTTTTTACCACCGAGACAGGCTCAAATAACACAGGCACCCCTGATTCATATGCTACTGAAACAAATAACACAATATAGTGTTTATCACTAACTTTTGACCCTACTCCAAAAAATACGATATGAAAAACATAACACCGGTAATAATTGGGACATTCAAGTTAAACTTTTTGGGGGAAGCTCCTCAAAAAATATGGTAGATAGGAGTTCACAAGTATACTAAAAGGTAATGTAGTGCAACAACAATGCCTTTATATAAGAAAACACTGCCTCCACATTAGATTACAGATCACATTTTGTTTGAGCACACAGATTAAGAAGCATTTAAAGTAACTAGACCGGAGGATAAAAAGGACACCCTTCAAGTAAAAGTACATGCAGGAATAGAGCTCGGGCATGTAGAGACTTGAAGGCATGCAATGCAGAGAGATACTTAAGCTCATTGGAAGTTGGGTCACTTCATGGTACACCATGAGGGGGAAATGCATTAGAGGGCAGAATGAGTAACCAAAACATTCTGGTGGCTTACAAAAAATGCAGCTGGAAACTATACGACCTGTAATTTGAAATGGAGAAAGTACTAAAGACCAAGATTTCAGTTGCCGACGACCCCGTTTGGCCCTGAATTTATCAATTAGGTTTCAAATTTGAATTTTGGAAGAAAATATCAGTTAGCTTCAATACATCGAATAAGTGCAAATTTAGTTTGAAAAATCCTCCACAAACTTCTGACAATCTTAGGTTACCACTGGTAACCATTATTCTTGGTCTCAAAACTGCCACTTGTTATGGTAAATAAAATTTACTCTATCCAGTATCCAACACACACATGCATACAAAAACTAAATAAGTTATCGCCTCCAGAAGATAATAAAGAGATATAACAACTTACTTTTGCAAGCGGCTTGAAGTGACTCAGGAGATAAATTGGCATCAAGCATTAGTAGAGGTGCAATGGAGATGCGGCGGTAGAACTGATATATCCAGGTAGGGGTAAGAAAAGTTTCCTGCCCCAAGAAAACAGAGATAAATATAGTGGTAATTAGCAAACAGCCAAACACTAATGTTCAATGTAAGGAAACAGTACACATTTCGTTGAATAATTCTTACAACTGCTTGCACACTCGCAACACCAGCAAATAATTCTCCATTCCCATCAAATACATTTGACACTACTGGGGTTGTAACATCAGGAACCTGCAGTATTCCTACTTAAGTGCTGTGAGATAATGTTAGCTAATAGAAAATAACTAAAGATCATTTAAAGGGGCAAAAATAAAATGAAAAAAACCTTGACAATTCATGAACAGCATTCACAGTGAAATAATAAATTAAGGATGTTTCTATAAAGAAGATGTCACACAAGAAAAATTGAGACCCTCAAGTTGCTGCAAGAGAATTGAAGGTCTTGTCTTAGAAACTACAATGAGATCTTCGAAAGACTTAATCTTAGCCAATTAGTTAATTTGTTATCGCTTGATTGAGGCAATTATTTAACAGAGTGATCTCTTCATTTAACATTAGGGCCCATCCTGAGCTTTCTCAACAAAACATTATTTTACTCCCTGCGCTGTTTCAGAAAGGATGCTCCAGAATCCATGTTGTATCTTTTTACAATTTGACCATCGCTAGCTTACTATCTACATATTTATACCGGATATACAAAGGTCACAATACTAAATTTGTTGTGGACAGAAGTTTCACAACATTATAATTTTATTCAATTATACACATAAAATTCCCCTAAAAAATTACTCCCTCTGATCCATATTAATTGACGCTCCTTTAGTACAACTTTGTACTAAAAAAGGCAGCCCCAGTGCATGTAGCTCCCGCTTGCGCAGGGTCTGGGGAAGGGTCCGACCACTTTGGAGTAGTTCATTTCTACAACTTTGTACTAAAGGAGCATAAAAATATGGATCGGAGGGAGTAGTCAAAATAATATATTGGAGACCAAGAAAAGAGCAGCATAATTTTCAAAAGAGCCAAGTAAGCAATACATAATTATCACAAAGTTAACAGCCTGGTCTAAAGATCATTTCACTTATCATTTAGGTGTAGTCCAAACACATAGTTTAGTCAGTTAAAACATTTTATTTAGCTGATTATGTCCAAGTGCAATTTTTTTAAATTCTTTTAAGCTCACAAAAAACCCATAGAAGATTTTGCCTCAAAGGTGTTACATTCAGTTATCAACAAATAGGAAGGTAACTCGTATGTTATGTACTTTTAATTTGCAGCATCTAACCAGTTTGTACCCTTTGATGGATTGCACAATATCTGACATATTGCTTACATGCTCAATATAGTATGTTGTAGTGAGATGGGTACATGTGAAAGTGCATTTAGTCCCCCTATTAATTTTTGGTTATTAATGACAAGGCAATTAAGAGGACTATTGGTTTATCAAGTTCAGTTCAGGACGTGGTCCATTTTGATGTGAAAACATCAACAGTGACCCCTATTTTTGCCCTGACAAGTGGTTGTTTCTTTACGCTCGTGGTTTGTAATTTCTAGTTTTTTTTAGTGGATCCATGATTCAGATTGAGTTTAAGGACAATTGTATTATCAAGAGGAATGCAAGCAAATAGCTAGGGATGAACCCTATCTCAAGATCCACAACCAAATCCCCAAGTTTTCCACTCCAAACACTTCATTCCTCAAATTTTCCTACATCCCGATACCTCCGAGTATTCCTACTTGGTACTACCAAGCCAGTGAGTTGTGAGTGATGCTGATGAGCAAACCCAGTTCTCTAAGTGTTTCCCAGGACAACCGAGATTTTTTTCCTGTGCCACTGAGCTTTTCTCCTACCAAGTGTATCTCTGTTAGCTCTGGTATCTCTGAGCTTAACCTTGTCTAGCAATTACGAGCACCTCTCATTTGCTTCGGCACAGCGTCTCGGTATAGGTCCGGTATTTCCAAGCCAAATCTTTCTGGCATCTCCAAGCTGAGACTTGGCCGTTTCTGCACCTTTCCATTCCAGGGTTCCTCTATTGACCCCGACACTTCCGAGAATTATCACTTCCGTACCTCTGAGCAAGTTGATCCTTCATGCAGAAATGAACTACTCCATTGTCCAGTACCTGTGTCTTTTGCATTCGGTACCCCCGGGTATTTGGATTTTCAAGAGGGTTACTCGACAGCCAGTACTTCCAAGTGCCAGCCACCTACTGCCAGGTTTTCTGTTCGGTACTACTGAGCAAGTTGTAAGCTATTGTGCAACGGTCAGATTTCTGTTTTTTTCTATACTCCCTCCATTTTTGTATACAAGGCCATTACCTCATTTTTCAGATACCAAGAAAACAAACTAATAAATAGCAGGATTAACTGTGTGGAAAACCTCTCGTGTTCTGGGCTAATTAAACATGTGCATGTGGTGCCTCTTTCTCTATGGCTGCATGCAACTTTTGCATTAGTAAGCACCATCATACGAGGCAAAAATCAAATAAATTCTTCTCGGAAAGAGATAGTGGTATTGTATACATGCAAATTGCAATTTTGATAGTGGCCTTGTGGTTAAAACCAGGGGGGGGGGGGTAATATAGACCCCCACACCACTGAGTGGGCAAGCATTTTTTGAGCCATTTTTCAGAGGGTTTGAAAGCAGAACTCCACCACCTCTTGGACCGCTTAGTGTTCTATCTCTCTTTGCTCCATCATTTGATTCTTAGTGAGAGAGACCCTATGGATTCTTGAGAGAGTTGATTGAAGATCTTTTGAGTTCATCCAAGTGACTGTCCTTTTCTTGTTACTCTTGGAGGGTCTGCGCCTCCGAGACGATTAGGAGTCACTTGATAGCCTTCAAGGTGTGAAGGAATCAAGAGTTTGTAGAAGGCCTAGTGATTGCCTTCTCCGTGAAGATCAACCCCGGGTTAGGCTTTGACCTTCGTAGTATCAAGCCATGGTGACATAGGTGGGCAAGAGGCTTCGTGGGACCTTAGTGGTCGACCTTGCCGAGGCCTTGGTGTGGCTTGCGAATTTGTGTTTGAACCTTTACCAACGAGGAGTAGGATTGCATCAACAATCTGAACCTCAAGAAACCATCGTTGTGTTTGATGTGTTTGCAATATTACCTTACTCCTAGTTACTTGCAATTTTCGCTTCCACACTCTTATCTTGTTGTAGACTTGTTGTGTAGGCTACTTGATCGCTTAAATTGGACGTAGATTTTGTAAGGTCTATTTATCCCCTTCTAAACCATAACCTCGGCCCCACAACACGACTAACACTGAATTTGGCATAGGGTGGTTGTGAGCTATT